TATATATATACATATACATACACACACACACACACATAATAATAGATATATCTTACATATTTAAAGATGTCTTTAAATATGTAAGATATTCATTTATGTCTTTAGAGAGAAAATTCCACAGGGATCCACTGTTGGCCTCTCCTTTCCAAAATGTTCGCTTCCTGACTGGGAACAAGACATAATGAACGCTGGCACTTCTGACATTTGCTGCATGCTTGTTCCAGGTATGTGACCGCAAAGCAGTGGAGCAGATCACCAGATATGCAGCATATTTAAAAGGAGACCAGCAATGGTTGCCAGCCCTCATACCTGATGACTATATATTTTAAGGAAAGATAAAACAAAATATCTGTACTCCGTTATCTTTCTTGGTGTTTCCAACAATCCAAAGAAAAGAATACTAATGAGTTCATGGTCTTACTCCTCTTGTACAGATGCATGTGGTGGGCACATTAGACTTGGAGCACCTTCGTTGGCCAGGGACTACTTGTAATGAATTGGCTGTACTGCTCAAAGCACTGAGTAACATGTAAGCAGTATTTAAAAATAGAGTTTTATGTGAAATAAATCCCCAAATATTGTTATACGGGGGTTAAGTGTTTGTAAATTCATGTGTATTCCACAACAAAACAAAAAATGTCCTTTAGCCTTGTCCCAGTTTTTATCCCATCTGCAGCTTACAACGTGACTGCTCTGTACAAAGGGCAAGAGGAGAGGAGACCGAGTGTTTACATCAACCATGACTGACAATTAGGGCGAACATGTCGTTTGCCCTGCTCTGGCACAATGCATTTTGGAGGATTTTGTATGTTCCATGTGACCAGATCATGGCATTTCTTTAAGCAGTATTAAACTCTCAAACATTTGCTATAATAAATCCAGATCAAACAAAAATACATCACCCAGCAAAGTACTTTTACCCAACCACTTAGTCATCATGTTTCCAAACAACTATGATTTAGTCTTGTAATGCATCATGAGACTTTTAGTTCCACGACATCTGGAATGCCAAGGTTGCCAACTACAAATGCCATTACATGCTGTCAGCCAGCTATCCTGTACCGAAGACAGATGCAACTATGCTGGAGCCATAAAACCAAATGTGCCTACTTTTTTTCTGCACCTTAAGGTCTCATTCACACCTAGGCGTATTGCATATGCGCGAACGTCGCGCGTTTTTTACCGCGATTCGCGGTAAAAAGTGGCGCGACCGTCGGCTACTTGGCTGTATCCCAATGGAAACGCGCAACAAAACGGCCCAAAGTAGTACCTGTACCTTTTCAGGCGTGGGTCGTTTTGTAGCGCGTTAGGGACGGGCGGAAATACGCCAAGGTGGGAACGAGACCATTGAATACAATGGGATTTATATTTTTAAGCGTTTTGTAGAGCGTTCGTCGAGCGTAGAACACCCTACAAAACGTTCAGGTGTGAACGAAGGCTTATTAGCGATGTCAATGGCAGCACTTCTTCTGCGACCCCTTAGAAGGGTCTCTAAACTGTGTGTTAAGGAGATTTTAAATGTAATCTAAATTCTTAATTTTCAAACCGTAAATTGTAACATAATTTCCACATAAAAAACACAAGTAACACCGAGCCATTTCCAGGGTCAATATCAAGTTTTTATGATTTGTCTCAGAAAATGTCCCTATTCACAAAATGCAATGTTTAAATACTGTGTACAGATGCAGCTACCAATGAAGACCCAAATTTTACTTCTCTTGTGCTTAGCCTAACCTTTAACACCAACCATAAACCGGAGAAGAAATTA